TCTCTCTCTCTCTGTGTGTGTGTGTGTGCATGTGTAGTCCGGCGTGTTCTCCTCTGGCTTGCGCATCTCTATGAGTACTAGATCTAAGTACGCTTGATCAAAACTCGAATTTTTTTCTGGGTTTCCTCTTTATGTAGCCTTTTTCGTATTAAACAATTTAAATAATTTTGTCTTGACGGGTTATTATTTTATTACTGCCAATGCCTCTCCAACAACACGACACCAGCCACAACAACACCAACCATAACAACAACAGCAACAGATCAAGGGGAAAACTATAAAATCACAACAAATGTAACATAACCAGAGGTTACATCAACAGATTAACAGGACAACAACACCAAATATATATCAATAAGAAAAAAAAAGAAACCCAACACAACAACTGAACCTTTCGAGAACATGCGTTTGACTACTTAATATAGCTGTACTGCGTTTACTTTGTACTCGCTCATACATAATGTACACATTAACGAAACACATTCTCGCTTGATCATAGTGAGACACAAATGCGACGTAACATCTAGGCCTGCTGATTTATTTATGAAGAACATTCCCTTTATACAGTGAGAATATTATGATGACGGTGTCACTGTTCAAATTCCCCATTAATGTTACGGCGTTTTTGTGCCTCAGAATGATCAAGCTTCGTCCTGTGGCTTGTGTGCCTCTGTACGCCAGCACGTCATGACTCAGCGTGACCTCTCCCATGGGGTCACGAGCACGCGGGCTGCCAATTGAACATGGGCAATCGGCACGCTCCGATAAAGGCTGAATAAACGCGACACGGTGGCTGTGAGGAGACGCCAAACTGCTCTCTACGGGTCATAGTTTTTTCTGCTGCTTTATTATGAACTATGGATCAAGGCTGTGGGATAATATTTGGTTTGTTAGAGTGTATGAAAGCTGCAACCGTGTAAATGTTGTTGGAGTTGTAGGTTGTATGACGAATCAACTCGGCAGTAGCGCCACTTTGGGGGAGGAACGCTTTGGGTCCTTTTTGTGAATTAGTGTGCGATTTCTGTCCTACTTCTTTTCGTCTGTTCCTGTATGCCTGTCTTGCTCTTTCCGTGCTCTAACTCTAACTGGTCGTTATTGTGCCGGTATGCTTGTTCTTTCTCGGAGGAGATCAGGTGCTGTAGTTGGAGGGCACCACTGATAAGTCTTTCTTCTTTCTTAAACCTCCGTTATTGCTGTCTATTTTTCTTGTTCCGTGCACTGCATAGCTGTTGTCGTATCGATGTGCTTTTCTTTTTTTCAAACTACCTCATTTCACCCTAGGATGTGACTACAAATGACTGGCAAACTTTCAGCCGAAACGAAGAAATGAGGAAGAGTGTGCCCTGAAATGTATCATGGATGGTCGAAGCGCGCCACTGGTGATTCTAACCTCTTTTCTATCAGTATTCTATGTCTGTCTATCTTCCTTTCTTTGAAATCTCTACATGATCGTTATTATGTCAATGTGCTTCGTTTAACTTAAACAAACAAGCCCTGAAATGAAGTAGAAGAAACATGTCGTTCCACTTGCCATTATGATTAATGGCAGCAGAACTTGGACTTTATTTAATCTGTCTTCCCAACACGGTCCGATGAGTGCGTCAGCCAACCGCCCGCCCCCGGCACCAAACACGCCATTCTGTGATCAGGAAGAGGGTCACCTCCTCTTCTTGCGCTAGACCCATCTATTTTCGCAGTCTTTCCAATATCGAGCACAGCCGGCTTCGTGTATTAACAGATCTCCCTCACGCGATGTGTAGGGCAATTATTCACTCGCTTTTTGATCTGTAGCTGGGGCAGCCGCAGCGTGGATTTGAGATTACAAGATACAAGGTAGTTGACAAAACTGTGGGTGGTATTGCCTGGAGTCGTAAGTCGCTCGTGCAGTGGACTTTTGATGGCAAAATAATTTACCAACCTGTAGCTGTTATGATCAGGTGGGTGCTGCTTAAATACTCATTGTCTTTTAAGCGTATGTTGTTTCCGCTGTGGTAGAATGCCGAGAATTTTGTTTTCTTTCTTTTTTGAGGAGGAGGGGGGAGGCGAGGGAATGGAGTATTGAATTCAAAGGTGTTGACTCGAGTTTGTGCTGGTGTTCCCTTGTCGTGCCAGCCGTGGGAGACTTTTTGATTAAAAGTCAAACTCTTTAAATAGTATCTTTATGCCGATGGTTCAACTTTGTTCTTATGGAGTTCGTATTTCAGGAAATGAGTTTTTTGGGGATTTTTCTCCTTTTTAAAAAAAATGGACATGACTGTCTTTTTTTGTATATATCGACTTGTCCATCAGTTTCTTTCTCATTGCAATTTCCTAAAAATAGAATTGATCTTATGTC